GCATTCGAATATCGCTATTTGAAAACTAAAATGAAACGAAGCATTTTCATTCATTATTTAATATTTTTTTTCTTTTTTCTTGTTCGAATTGGATTTAGTATTCTGACGTAAAACCTAGATTTGCATCGCTAGTAATTCATTGAATGGAATTTCAAATTTCATTAATTCTGGAAGACATTTAAATTTGGATTTAACACATAAATGGCAAACTCATCTATAACTTATTTGGTATACGACTATACACTATATGAGATTTTGACAAAAAATTGAACTTGAAAGTAGATGGACATGATGATTCCTCTTAATTAATTTATTTTTGTTCAGAGTTTTAAAGAACTTTCATACAATGAGTATGTCGTTGTGGCAGTATCTAAAGTCCATTACGCATTGACATATGAAAACTTTAACGCATGAGTACAAGTGAGTTGGAAAACGTCATAATCACAGTGTAGGTGAATTTCTCTTAGAATTTTCATTAATCAGAATTCAATATGACACTATGCAAGGCGCTCTCGTTATTATGATTTAAAGGAAGTCGAGTTTAATGCCTTTGTGAATTTTAACTTCTAGACGCTAAAAAAATTTCTCTCGTACCGCGAAGTTTCCAAATAAAATATAGACAATGTTTCACTTTAATCTTTCAACTTGAAATGAATGGTATTATGTAGCTAGAGAGACTAATAACATCATTGTGATAATCTCATGGAGTCCAGGTGTCAGAATGACAGAGTACTAGTTGGAACATAATCCAGCTTGTCAAATAGAAAATGCAACAAGGAACACTTGTCAAATCCCAATTGGCTAATAACCATATCCAATTTATCCAACAAGAAAATGGCAGATAAGGTCCTTGCCCAAGACCACTCTACATCACATAAGCATAGAACAAAACATATGATTTCTACATTTCTGCCACTGAAAACTGATCATTGCCAAAAAAACAAATAAAAAGTTAAGGAGGTTAAGAAAATGGCACAAGCTATGGCTTCAATGGCTGGCCTGCACGGTTCCTCCCAGGCAGTTTTGGAGGGCAGCCTCCACCTAAGCAGCTCATCACGCTTGAACACGGTCAGCAGCACCGGCAGGCTAGCCGTGGCGAGGTCCGGGCTCACCATTAGAGCCCAGCAAGTGCCTTCAGAGCCCGAAACTAGTCGTAGGGCAGTGCTTGGTCTCGTCGCAGTTGGTTTGGCCTCCGGGTCATTTGTCCAAGCTGTGCTTGCCGAGGCTAAGCCCATCAAAGTCGGTCCTCCTCCACCTCCCTCCGGCGGATTGCGTAAGACCCTCACTCTTGATCTTGTCGCTATTTTCAATCTTAGCATGGCAATTGCATTAGAATACTAAAACATAATATAGAAACCTGTTACATGAAAAATGTACAATGTTTTAGGACTCGTTTGAGACTGTTTCTATAGAAGCACTTTTGCTCATAAGCGTTGTTTTTATTAGAAACACAAAATTGCAAATGCTTATTTCAAAAGCACTATTTTGATTGCAGAATTAAACATTGGAATTGGATTTGCAACACAACATGTTTAGTTTGATCTGAATCATTGAGAATATGATGTGCATGAATTGTTTATTGGGTGCGTTGATGAACTCATGAAGGTGAATTTGTTTTTGTTGTGGCAGCTGGAACCCTAAACTCGGATGAGCCAAGAGACCTTGACCTGCCGTTGAAGGAGAGGTTCTTCCTCCAACCGCTCACTCCGGCTCAGGCTGCCGCGCGGGCGAAGGAATCAGCCAAGGAAATTGTAGCTGTCAAGGAGTTCATTGACAAAAAGGCATGGCCCTACGTCCAGAACGATCTTCGTCTCAGAGCCTCGTATCTCCGTTATGACCTCAAGACCGTCATTTCTGCCAAACCTAAAGGCGAGAAGGAGCCCCTCAAGGAACTCGCTGGAAAGCTCTTCAAAGACATTGACGGCGTAAGTTCACCATGTCACATACACGTCTTTTATTTGACATAGATTTTGGTTTGTACATGATTCATGTACTTTTGTTTTGTGTCTGGGGACAGTTGGACCATGCAGCGAAGATCAAGAGCACCCCGGAAGCAGAGAAGTACTACGCCGCGACCGTATCTTCCCTCAGTGATGTTCTTGCAAAGCTTGGTTAAACCCTAAAAGGGATTAATGTATTTGATATGTAAGGCTTTTTAAGAGCTTTGTTTGACTGTTTGTGAGATCAAATTGTTCGGATGCTATTTGGAGGAAATCTAGTGATATTTAAATGTCATTATTTCTGCATAAAAATCGTGAACATATTCTTTTGTTTTCCACGTAAAAAGATGCAGTGAAAACACTGGTGTAACAGAAAAGGTTCAAAATTCTTAAGATGAACATAAAGTTTCTTACAGCAAAAGACGTTAAGGGCTCCCTCTGCTATATCAGCAACCGCTAGACGGTCACCCCAAAGGTAAAACGAAACTTGTTTCAAATCTGATAGGATCCCTCCCAGAAAAGTACTCGTGATTAAACATTCACTCCACAAATCAAGAGAATGAACTTCTACGTACAAATTGTGTCCATCTGTTAAACTTTCGGGTAAATACAAAACCCCTCCTTCGCTGTATCTGCATGAACAAAATTCTGCTTGATCCACCACCAGTTTGCCCTGTTTTAACAAATTCTGGTTTGGATGTTTCAAGCATCTCCAATTGACATCCTTCCCGATCGAGATCACAAACAAATGTCACTTCATTACACTCACAAGTGAGTGAACTGAAAACAGCATCTATTTGTACGACATGTTCATGTTCAGAAGACAAATTTTTTTGCATCGATGTAGCAATTGGCATAACTAAAAGGTTCAAGCTCAAAGCGCTCTTCAAAAACACCACAGGCAGCCACAACAAAATCGAGTGACAGTATCAAAGGGAAGCTCTGGTAATCGTTGCTTCGACACCTCTTCTTCTTCGGTAGCAACACATTGTCCCATTGTATTGGACATGGGATTAATTCAAAGCTAGAATGACAAAACAAAATTAACAAATCCCAATCAGAATTAGAAAAAAAGTACCAAGGAGACCCTCGGTTACTATTACGCTAGTCATGAATTCAAATACACAGTTTTGATGTGAACTAGAGAAAATTCAACCACTCCCACAAGTTTTGGTCACCAAGACATTAAGGGCTTCTAGCTATGTTTCCGCATGATGCGACAAATTTGAGAAAATATGTTTTGCAATTTTGCCACTCTTGTTTTTTTAACATATAGATGCGCAAAATTTAAAATATTCGACAATATTGAATACTCCGCCACTTCAAGTGTATGAAGACAAAACGTTGCAGCTTATGTAACTAAAAGGTTTCAAACTGCTCCTAAAGAGTAATAAAGCAAGATTGTTTAAGATGAACATGAAGTAAACAAGATTCTCTAAGATGACATCGTCTCGCTTTCTGTTCTCATTCCCTTCAAACTCATCAGGCTTGGCATATATACAGTAAACTTTCTATCCCCAACCTGTGTTTTCATGATCAACTTCTCAATTTTCTCCAATTTCATCATATATAAAACTTTCATCTCCAACATGAAACTTGATTATATTTATATCACGATGAACCATGGCAATAACGACCTGATCCTTCCAAAGTGGGTTGTCCTTTAAAATTTTCAGGGGAATGATGATCTTGGTTCCACTCCATTTGTGCTCTTTATAGTCTTCTAACAGAAAGACATGAAGGGCTCCCTCTGGTATATCAGAAACCGCTAGACAGTCATAGAAAAAACGGAACTTGTTGCAAATCTGAGAAAACTCTTTCGGGCGAAGTAGTAGTGGTGAAGCATTCACTCCACAAATCAAGAGAAGGAACTTCTAGGTACAAATCATATCCAATCTGTTAGAATTTCAGGTAAATGAACAATCCCTCCATCCTTATCTGAAGTGAAAAATGTTGTTCCACCACCAGTCTGTCATGTTCCAAAAAGTTTTGGTTTGGTTGTTTCAAGGATCTCTATTTGTCATCCTTCCCTACCGTTAGAACTTCAAATCCTAGGTGCATTGCCTCTCAATCGAGAGAATGAACACATACCACTTTGCATTCATGAGCGAGTGAATTGAAAATGATGTACATTTGTACGACACTCTCATGTGAATCGGGCAAGTAAAGTACTTGGTGGGTTGCAGGATTTCTGATCCGACAAACTTGAGAAGAACCCCTCTTCTCCAGAAACAAGCCAGCATAACGGCTTTCAATGTTGAAATTATAATCGGTAGGAAGCCACTCGTAACAGGCCAGGCTCTCATGTTTTGTGATAAACCTGACCAATCAACAGACACCATAACTTGCACACACTTGAACCTAACCAAAGACTCTAAATTCCAGCTCAAAATCTCAACGATAATCTCAAAGGGAGGCTCCGATGCTTCTGGTCGCACCACTCGTTTACTGTATCAGAAAGTTAACTGAAGTCATCTTCAGAGGGTATAAATCTTTATTTTATCAGTGGAAGAGATTGATGGGAAACAAAATTATTGAAAGAACAAGACCCTTTGGGATTCAATAATACTCGTTTGGAATAATTTGTATAAAAACCCTAGTGCTGAATTCCAGAAAGGTTCTGGAAAAATGTTCTAAAACCAAAACATACAACTTTCGAATCACCAAAATTCCATTTAAATGACTGAAAAGAAGAAAAGCAGAAAAAAAAAGTTGAGAGAGATGAATTTTACCGTGATCTAAATTCCATGATAACACCTTGGCCCGCAATTTTTTTTTTTGTCAAACTATAGGTTTTGTTAGATTAGATGTTATATTAGCCACCGACGGGGTTCGTATCCATGCCATCATACAAGGTCTCAACTCCTTTCCACCACTTAATGTGGTAAAGGCCCGCAAGTTTACTACTAAGAGGTTTTTAGACAAGAAATTCTGGTAGGGGGACTCTCCCGTATATGTTTCACGACACTTAGGCTTGTAGGGCTGTTTTTAATTTAGCTAGAAAACTAAAATTTAGCAACTGGTACAACTAAATTAAAAGTCTTGTTTTTGCTTCAAAAGTGCGTCGACGTTTAAGAAGTCCAAGGGAACATTTAAGGGTTTCTAGCTATGTTTCCACATGACATGACAAAACTCAGCAAAACATGTAATGGAATCTTGGCACAAGTGCTATGTTACAACAGGTGTGGCTAAAAAGTTCAAACTTCCCTTTGGAGAGCAGCATAAACTGTAACACAAACAATCTAAAAAGATGAACAGAAAGACGAGATTTTGCAAACAAGGAATCCATGTGGAGTGAAAGTACACATCATTGCTCTAGCCTTGTGCTCCTTTAATTTCTGGTGTCATTTCCTTGAGAGTCATGAGGGTTGACTTAAGTCGAGGTATTCGTTCCTTCAAGGATTCTAAATTGGCAAAAACCTTAACAGTCTTTTTCTCAATGTCATATGAAATAAGTTGTTCTCCGTTTAGAAACACGAGTTGATTTGAACGACCTTGTATAAGTACAAGTTTATCCGTCAAAATTGTGTCGTCGACCTCTAAATTTTTCAAGGGAAAGATGATCTTGTTTTGACTCCATTTGTGCTCTTTGAAGTCTACTAACACCAAGATGTGAAGGTCCCCCCCTACTATATCAGCAATGGCAGGACGATTATCCCAAAGAAAAGGCCAGAGATTCTCCAAATCTACGAAAGCTCCTTGAGGCAGGGTAGTAGTGGTGAGACGTTCACTCCACAGATCAAGAGAATGAATTTGTAAGCACAACTTACGTCCCTCGGTTATAATTTCGGGTAAGTGAAGAGCCCATTCAACCTTATCTGCCCCACAACGAGATTGTTTCAGCACCGGTTTGCCTCGTCCCAGCCAATTCTTGTTTTGTTTGTGCAAAGGTCTCCACATTTCATCCTTTCCGATTGTTATCACTTCAATACCTACCTGTTCCTGTGCCGTATCTAAGTAGACACGGAACACTTTACACTCACCAGTGAGTGAATTCAAACCGAGGTCCATTAATTCTTTGGAACCCTCGTCGTGTGCATCAGGCAAGTAGAGCACTTTGCAGGTCGCAGGATTTCTAATGCGGCAAACTTGAGATGTTGTGCTCTTCTCCAAGGACAAGCCAGAACAGTAACCTTTGAGCTCAAACTTTTTATCACTAACAGTGACAATCGATTTGTTTTCCCATTCGCAATGATAATAAGGTGAGAGGATGCAACGGGTCCGATCGCTATGCTTTGCAATGAACTTGTAGTCTTGAAGCAACAAAAACCATTGCTTGCACACGCACTTGAATCTCAACAAAGACAACACAGGAAGCCAACTCAAAATCTCACTGATAATTTCAAAAGGAAGCTCTGACGATACCTGTGTCGGCCTTTTTCTTCTTTGGTAGTAACACATCATTGTCGATCTCAATATATTTCAAGGACACTAGAAGAGCACGACCACGAGAGATTCAAAGCTAGAGTGACAGAGAACAAATCCCAAATCAGAATTAGAACAAGAAGGTCAATATTAAGCTAGCTAGTCAATTGATATGCACAGAGTTTTGATATTTACGCAAGCCCTAGATTTGAAACCAAAACCCTAATTCCTAAGGTTTAAGAATAACCTAGCTTTAATCAAAGCCCTGGCTTTGAAACCAAAACCCTAATTCCTAAGGTTTAAGAATAACCTAGCTTTGATTCAAAGCCCTAGCTTCGAAACCAAAACCCTAATTCCTAAGGTAACAAAGCCCTAGCTTCGAAACCAAAACCCTAATTCCTAAGGTAACTAGCTTTGAATTCAAAGCCTAGCTTTGAATCAAAAGACCGTAAAGAAGAAGGGCTTAGAAAAAATAAGAAAAGAAATTACCTGAATTCCACAAATTTGACTTGAGGTTTGCATCCTCTATAATCTATGAGAATTTTGGAATGTCTTTTAAGCTATATATGAAAGACATATATGGGTCAACGGGCCACTACCAATCATACGGGATGTCGATACAATTAAACGTGAAACCATTTAATACAAGTTGCAATTATTTTGTAATTAAGATGGCCGATGTGGGACGACTTTCACATTATTCAACGCATACAAGGCTAATAGAATCAAGAAAGTGACGTCCAAATGGTGAATATATACGAGAAATATATGCACAAATAAAACTAACGAAATAAGAAATTCACCGTAAACGTAATTTCACAAACTTCTATAGGTTTTGGCGGACAAGATTAGATGTGGCAAATCAATACATTGAGTTGTTATTAAGTACCCATTAAGATCCATTTAGTTTGAATTCATCTTACACTATCATCACTACTACGAATCTCACATCTATATTAAAGTAATATCAAATTAAACAAATCTTAACGAGTACCGATTAACAATCGAATGTGTTAATTTTGCCACCTCTAGACAAGACTAATAGAACAAAGAAGGCTAATTACTCGATTCACTGTTTATATTTGCCCCCTCCCAATCAATTCAGAACAAGCTGCAGCCATTAAAATAAGCTGCTATGTGGTAAAGCAACTCTGTATTTTGATTTCTAGAAGATGCAAATTAATTCAACAACTGATTTAACTAATTAATCGCATTTCGATATTGATCTTCGTGTAAAATATTTGTTTTTTAATATTTTGTTAAATTGTTAAGTGAATGATCACGTTATCATTTTTTAAAGGTATTTTTATCAAATTACCTTATCTACTTCATGAAATATATTGACAGATTTTTTTTCAAAAAAACCAAAATAATTTACAATAGACAAAATCAGAGACCATTGATATCAACTTTCATTATTGAAGATCAAAGCGAGGAGTTGTGTTATTCTCAGTAATCATTTTGCTTAAAAGTATTTTCATAATATTGTTTGATGACTTCATCCAATCGAAGGGTCAGGAATAAAAGGTAACGGAGCAAATAAAAGGTCACTATATCGTTCACACACAGTGCTACTTTCCAAGGTGATTGACCTCCTCAACTTCGACGCGGTGACTTTTATTTGCCGTTTTCGCGCACACAAATTCCCCTAAAAGAAAAAGGTCAGTCTCTCAAGTTCCCGGTTCGAATCCCTAATTTCCCAAAAACCCTAAATCTCCATCTCTTCCCATGGCTCCCAAGCGCCCATCTCCGCTGGACGAACCCCCGGCAGCTTCTTCGGCGGAGGATGAGGAAGTCTCATCGGAAGAAGAAGGGGAAGAGGAGGAATCCGGATCTGGGTCGGATTCCGAACCCGAAGAGCCACTGCCTCCGAAGATCTCGTCTTCCGCACCGGTTTCCGAGAAAAAGCCGCCATCTAAGAAACCGGACTCCTCCGCCGCCAATTCGAAGCCGGAGTCTTCATCCTCTGGTTCCGAGGCCGATTCCGATTCCGATGTGGATAAGGATTTGGTGGTGAAGCCGATTGCCTCGAAGCCAATGGAAGAGACGCCGAAGACAAAGAAGCCCAGATCAAGGCCCGCGGCTACTGCTACGCCGGTGGCGAAATCTGGGTCGAAACGGCCGAGCGAGACCGAGCCCAAGGATTCAAAGCGGCTCAAGAAGAAGGAACCGGACCAGCTCGAGGAGGAAGCGAAGAAGTCCAAGCTGTTCCAGAGGATTTGGAGCGATGAGGATGAGATAATTATCTTGAAGGGCATGGTTGATTACACCACCAAGAAAGGGGCGGACCCGTATTCCGATATGGGTGCCTTCCATGAATTTATCAAGAAATCGCTGAAGGTTGATGTGAACAAAACCCAATTGCAAGATAAGATTCGTCGGCTGAAGAAGAAGTATGCGACGAATGTGAAGAAGAAGAAGTTTAATCCTACTAAAGCTCATGACCAGAAGGTGTTTGACTTGTCCAAGAAGGTATGGGGTAGCAGCAGTAGCGGGGATGGGTCGAGTGGTGTCAGCGGGCTGTCTGAACAGCCAAAGTCTAATGGGAAAGCTAGGAATACCAAGACTCTCGCTTCGATTAGAGCTGATAGTTTGAGCTCACCGGAGCCGCCAAAGGAGGCTGCGAAGGTGGATTTGGGTCTGACCCCGTGCTCTTCGGAAAGTTTGAGTGAGGTGATTGGTTTTGACAAGGGTTTCGGCGAGCTGGGGTTGCCGGAGCGTTTGGTGAAGCAGGGTTTGGAGTTGATTGGAGGGCCCAAGCGAGCTGAGTTGAAGGAGAAATGGAGGAAGCTGCATGTTGCTGAATTGGAGCTTTTTGTGAAGCGGTCCGAGTTAATGAGAGATCAGACGAAGGTGATTCTGGAGGCTTTAAATTCATCCGACCATTAGAATGTTGGATCAGGTATAGCAAGTCGAGATGCTTGTGTTGATGTCTAGAAAGACCATGTTTAAGGTTTTAGTAATTGTTAATTAAGAATTCTGTAGCATTTAGTTGCTAAGTTTGTCTATTAGATCTTTGCTCGGATAATGGCTGGCCATCGGTGTCTTCCTATGTGTTTATTTGAGGTTATTGTTGTGGCAGAGTGCTATCTTTTGTTTCCATCGAGTATCTATTATTCCGCTGTGTTATGTTGCTATCTCTGATAATGTTAAGCAGGGTTACATAATGCTGCGGTGAATCAGTTATCTTGCTGAGTGTCGTTGAAATCTTAGGTACATTACTAATGTTGTGGTATTATTCGGTTTGTTAAATAGCTGCAATTGTTTTCGGTCACTATAATCGTAGCGTAGAAGGGAATGATCATTCAAAACACATTTTAATTCGCTAGATGCGCTTCATTGTCCTCATAGTCATGGTTCAATCATTTGATTGGGTCTTTCGTATGATCTTCCCAGTAATCTGGTACTTGACATGCTTGGAGGTCTTACATTATCTCCAAAATGTTTGCACCAGCGGCCAGGCAGTGGAGCTGTTGATTCCATTTCTTGAATGCAGTCTTCGGTGGTGATGTGCATTGGTTGTGCGATGCTTATTTCCTGTTTGTGTTCTTATAACGCTGTTTTTAGTACCAAAGAAAAACCAAGGGCTGGCTGAGTTGGTGTCTATGAGTTGTGTTTGGGATTCTTGGTTTGTAGAGTTTCACGAATCTTGTCGAATGCAGGTGATTAAAATCTTCTGGTCATGATTTGTATTGGGGAGACAATCTAATCCGTTATCTTGGTGGAGGAATGGGGAGTATGCATGCGCTGATTTTAGGGCGCGTCCAACTCCTGTCCAACCACCAACTAAGGAGAATGGGTGAGCTTAGCCTCACAACGGGCTAGCAATAATGTGATTCAAATTTGTCATTTGCGAGAATCAAACTTAAGACTTTTCATTTATAAATGAAGAAAAATATCATTAGATTGTAGTGTTAAGTGATGGAGACTTGACAAACTTAATTAAAACCAACCCATCCTTACACCAATAAACGATCTTTTGACTACAAATAAAGTTGCTTTAAAAAAAAAAAAACTGTCTTTATAAAAATTTTTAATATGTTATAGCGTTATTTACAACAATGTGATAGCAAATTTACGACGAGTAAGTAGACGTAACAGCACTTATTAACAAAAATGAGAAACTTTTGACGTCTAATTGACAGATAAGTAGGCGTAACAGCACTCATCAGAAGAAAAACTCATCAGCTTCTTCGTTCTTTTAATTTTGCTCTTGAATTAAAATATATTGAAGCAAAACAAATTTGAAAAGCACATGGTCAAAATTGGTCAATCCATATTTAATCCCAGTGAAAATTTGTACTTCCCGCTCTCACACAAATACAGAAGCACAACCGAACCGGCTGAATCCAAACATCACCATCCAACCGTCCAATTATTTTAAAACAAACGGCCACAGATTTCAATCCGCGTCACTCCCTCTCATTGGCTCTAATTCTCCATAAGCAGCGAACGCCCTATATAAACCTAGAAACTCCCCAAAACACTCATCCCGCTATTTCATAACTTCATTTACTTCGCGAATAATTTGACTCTCTCTCTCTCTCTCTTCTCGAAATCCACCGCTCTTAGAATCCATGGCCGGAAGAGGAAAATCAATCGGCTCCGGCACCGCCAAGAAGGCCACGTCTCGGAGCAGCAAGGCCGGTCTCCAGTTCCCCGTCGGCCGTATCGCTCGGTTTTTGAAAGCTGGCAAGTACGCCGAGCGTGTTGGTGCCGGCGCCCCTGTCTACCTCGCCGCCGTCCTTGAATACCTCGCCGCAGAGGTCAATTTCTCAACCTGAACCTTAATTGTTTCTCAATTTTGCATCTTTATCTTTTCTGTGATTTAAATTTTGATTTGTTGAATTAAAGTTTGATTTCTTTGAAAATTGGATTTTTAGGTTTTGGAATTGGCCGGAAACGCCGCACGTGACAACAAGAAGACGAGGATTGTGCCGAGGCACATCCAGCTGGCCGTCAGGAACGACGAGGAGCTCAGCAAGCTGCTCGGCGCCGTCACCATCGCCAACGGCGGCGTTATGCCCAACATCCACAACATGCTCCTCCCCAAGAAAACCGGCACCGGCAAATCTGGCCCCGCCGAAGACTAGAAACTGAGCTTCGATTAGTTCCCTTTTGTAAAAAAGAGATGGCACAAATGCAAAAAATGGAAAGTAGTGTGGTTTAGAGAGGTTAGAAACTGAGCAATTTTTGGATTGCTTTTTGGTTTGATCAATTTAAAGAGATGAAATTATGGGTCGAATTTGTTGTTCGTTATATTCGATCTCCACTTGAGAATTTTAAATTTAATAATTGAAAATCAAGATACGAAATTGACATGAATTTCGAATTGGGGTTTTGGGAAATTTGACAAGTTCTTGGCGATTGATAAGAATTTCAACTCCAATCTGTTCTTCATTATAATTTAAACTTGAGTTTACAAACAGTAAACACAAAATTAATCAAATGGTAATTAAGTGATTAAGCTGGAGGAGGTCAAGCTGGGTTGCCGGGTGTGGTGGGTTTGAGTTTCCCTTCTTTGAACGTGGCTTTGGCAGAGACGTAATATGCAATGATGAACAATCCATGGAAGAAGCATAAGATCCCTCCGATGGACAGAACCCGACGGTGTGACAACCCGCACGATTTTCTCGACTTTCTGTTTGACATTGTCCCCGCAATCAGCAGTGAAAATGCCACCGCCAATGTAATCCTGCATAATGTTGATTATAGACTAGTGCTAGGAAGTTAAAACGATTTTTAACCAAACTCGTCTCTAAGATTGTTATTACTCTTTACTTTAGTTTTTGGATTTAAAATTAGAAGTGGTTATCGTGTGAACAATCTCTATTAATTAAAAAAATCCTTAGTTTAAGTGAAAATGTTAATTTTACAAAAATATCTTTAATTTAACAGAAATTTCGAACAAAATAATTGATGGTGGACAATTAAGGAGCCGCTTATATCAATTTTAAATCTCAAGAATCAAAGTGAGTTATACTATTTCAAAAACCATTTTGGATAAAAGGCCAGGAAGTTAATTAATTGTGGATAATTAGTTAATTACCATGATAAGATGAGGGAAGCAACTGCTAATTGTTTATTTGCTGTGGCTTTTTGGTAGTCTTCCTTGGACGAGATGCAAATGCAGCCACCAAGCAAGTTGCCTATTACATGTGCAACTGCTAGTATCACAGCAGCTGCCAACCCTAATTTGAAGGCTGGTAACTTGGGTCTCTGCACTCAAAGATCCACACCTTCAAATGGTGCACCTGTTTTTCACATGCCAAGAAATTTCCATATATAGATTAGTAACTCAAATAAAGGGCATTGCTTGGCTCGTTACGCATGCCGGAAGCATAAATTTATGCATACATGTCAAATAGTAATTTGTTTTACCTTGTTTTGAGCAATCTCAGCTTGAATCCCAAGGATTCCGGCCACGACGTCCATAATCAAGACCGAGAGGCAGACGAGAGGAGTCGCGTTTTTAACCATCTTTGCAGGGTTGGTTGTAGGAGGGGATGATGGGTGTGGAGTTTATAGGCAGCTTCTGCCTGCCGGTGGGTTTATGTAGTAGAGGAGGGACGAGGGAGAGGCTGTCTATCTGACAGATTAGGAAGGAAATTAGCTGTGGTTTTTATGAGTAAAAGCTTCTTTTGTCTTGACAGTTTTCACTTTATTCTTCCTTTTTCATTTCTTTTTTTGGTAAACCTTTATTCTTCCTTCTTTTGCCTGTTGTTATTCTTTGCTTTCTGAATTTTGGATTCCTTTCATGGGGAGCAAGGAAAGTAGAGTATCATCCACGAGAAATTTTTCATTGTGCTAATAACAAAGTCCGGAACTCCACTAGAATTAGTTGGAAATTTGTAAAAAAGAATTTTCAATTAATTGTATTGTAACACTTTGTGTATTAAATCGTGTTTCCGGCACATTAAAAAATTTCTCATCATCTACATGCGGTTGGGATTGGGAATTAACTTAGATTCTTACGTGTATGACAGCCGAGAAGAATCACATTTCCCTTCAAATTATTTCTTCAATTCCATAAGCCTCTTAGCAACAGCTTGGCTTTTTTTGCACCAAAGCTCAATTTATTCCTCATCGATAGAAGTAGTTTAAGATATCATTGTGCTAAAATCAAAGTAAAAATTCATGTATATTGGATCCTAATTGGGAGAAATTCTTGGGCATAACAATCTCGACTTCTTAAGCAATGTAGCACACACATGTTATACCACTTGTATTTGTCATCCACTGATGTCTAAGATGGACTAGTTGGGAGGATTTGTTTGCTCATTACCTTTAAACGATATGATGCTCACTACCTTATTAGTTATAGTTAAATAAATTATATTTAATCTATCTATTACACAAATATCAAAATTTAAACTCTTATAACGACAAGTAATGAAGTGACTGAGCAAAAGTATTTTCTCAAGTTGGATTGTACCGTTGGATGGAGGTGACAATTTGCACCTAACCCGTAAACCCGAATCAACCCACCCATTAAACCGATCCAACCATTTGCCAGCTCTACAGCTGGATACATGGAGGAGCGGACAAGTGGCAGTTCATTTGAGTTGCCTCCTGTATCTGATCTCAAAACATTTCTAGAACCAACTAGATCAACTGTCATCTTCTCGAATTAACCAGAGAAAGTTGTAGACAACCACAATAAGAAATTGCCTTTCCCTTTCCTTTTCTCCAATACTCTCAGTCTCTGATTCGTCCTGTGAGCTCGATTCCTGAGGAGGAAGACGATGGCGGCGTACAGATGGAAGTACTTCGAGGAGAACGAAGACCGTCCCGAAAAACCTCGAAGCTATGGCGTCACAGAAATGAGAGGCCCCCATTACTCGCTCTTGAGCCAAAACGTCCTCCAAGTACTTCTCAAAATTTCATCTTTATTTTCCCTTGGATTCATTTCATCATCATTTTTGCTTTTGGTTTTTCACAAAATGTTGTCCTGCTATGTAAATTTCAAAATTTTGGCCTGCCCCATTTAGAAATTTTCAAGTTTTTTTTCTTTTCTTTCAAGATTTTAGGACTTGGGTTTTTGAATTTGTGGAAAAGTTGATGTGGGTTTATCATAATTTGTTGTAATTGGTGATTAATGTTTTTAATTATTGGAAATGTTACATTATTACAGGATATTTTTGAGTCCATGGGGCAGTTTGTTGATGGTTTGAAGTTTTCTGGAGGTTCCGACAGCTTAATGCCGAAATCGTTTATCAAAGAAGTGACTGATGTTGCTCACCAGCATGATGTATATGTCAGCACCGGCGATTGGGCTGAAAATTTGCTTCGAAAAGGTCCATCGGCTTTCAAAGAGTATGTGGAGGTGAGATGTTTGGAAGAATTTCATTATTTCAGTGATATATATATATATATATATATGTGTGTGTGTGTGTATGTATGTATATTATTGCGTGTATTTGTTTGGATGTTATTAGTGGCAATGATTCAGTGTTCTGTTATGATTTCTTTAGGAATGTAAGAGCTTGGGGTTTGACACAATCGAGCTGAATGTGGGATCTCTTGAACTTCCTGAAGAAACTCTTCTGAGATACGTGCGCTTGATTAAGAGCGGTGGTCTGAAAGCGAAGCCACAGTTTGCGGTCAAGTTTAACAAGTCCGACATTCCTGTAGGTGATCGAGCATTTGGAGCCTACGTTGTTCCAAGCCCACGATCATCTGGTATGTCGTGCAATCTTTCCTCAAAAAATAAGTGAATGATATGTTTGCCTTGATAGCTAGATATTGTCCGAGAGCTCTGCATACAACTTGTATATTTTCTTGTTGGGACATTTAATAGCTCCGAGCTTAAAAAACATATAGAAACTGAATTCCAGAAATTGCCAATCCTCGTCCTTTTGTTCCGTTGTTATGTGAAGGTTAGTTCACATTCGCAAACAAATAGCATACCACAAAGGCCTAAAAAGGAGGAAAAAATTGCGCTTCAACCTTAAGTAAAGAAACGTAGAATTTCGGTTTAATGGCATGAATCCAAGTAATTGAATTTGTCTGGTGTATGTAATATCAATATCTGTTGTACATTCGATTACTGGGCTGCATGATACCATGAATAAGAGTTAGCAACTAACAATATTACCACGCGGCACCTCGAGAAAAGTTCTGCAGTCATTTTTTCACGCTGATGATTCTTCCTTCTTGCATTTGTCTTTCTGATTATTGCTTTTGTTTGAGATGGTAACATTTCCTTGACGTGTGTTGTGATCATATTACACGAAATATGGTGCAGTAGTAGGAGCACCCCTATGGTTATTTGGTTATAACTTATAAACATGACTGTTGTCTTTGTTTTCTTAGAATTTGTTGAAGATGTTGATCTTCTGATTAGAAGGGCTGAGAGATGCTTAGAGGCTGGGGCCGACATGATAATGATCGACGCTGATGATGTCTGTAAACAAGCTGACTCATTGCGGGCAGACATAATTGCGAAGGTTATTGGGCGTCTGGGGGTTGAGAAGACCATGTTCGAAGCTTCAAATCCAAGAACATCAGAGTGGTTCATCAAACAATATGGTCCAAGGGTATACACTCATATTTTTCTCTCTTCATTTCTTCTTTGTGTATAGGCGCATGCTGCTAAATCGTTCTTGTTTGCCTGAATTACTAGGTGAATCTCTTCGTGGACCACTCCCATGTGATGGATCTCGAGTGCCTCCGGGGACGCAACTTAGGTAAAAATCATGCATCTGTGCTGGGTTCCTCTTATTTTCTGTTTTAAAACTTTTTATAATTACAAAAATGGCGAGAACCAAAGGTGTGGTAATGTGTGGAAACATCACCATTGTCCTGTTGAAATCGCATATGTATGTGTTCCTCCGGTGCATGTAACGTTATCGAAGTACCTTAAATTTGGTCATTTTTGCAGTAAATTTATGTTGGGGTTTTTGTGTAATCGTTTTAATTCAGACGACTCAATTCTGAGTACTGTAACCTAAGTTGAAGTTTGAATAATTGACGTTGTGCGAAAAATTGATGTTGTAGCCTTGTAGGGATCTATTTTCTTTACTACATACGCAGGCATGTTAGGATATAACTCTTGTAGTGAAGAGATCATCGTGCGGCAGAGAGAAACTTAGGCCATTTCCAACCGAAACGAGCCCTCTGGTCCTTCAAGATATTAACATTTTAATGAATAGTATAAGGTCATATTTGCCTTCATCTCCGAGGGTCAAGGGGTCATATGGCTTGTTTTAACCTTGTTACAAAAAACCGTCTCTAACCAAGGATCATAGGATCAAACATAATTTATTATTTAAATTTAAAAATTACAACAACTTAAAATTTAAAAATTACAAATTAAATTCATAAAAAAAAAATTTGGTCAAAAAAAAAAATATATATGAATCCAACGGTAATTAGCCGTTGTATTTGAAATTTTGGATTACTATTCCTGTTGGATATAACTTACAGGAATAATGAAAATTCTGGCCTGGCTTGAGCAGCCAGTTGGTCCTTTGGCCTTTTTTTGTCCAGTGGGGCCCATGAGCTTTTTGGATTAGCCTTCGGTTAGAGATAATTTTCGAGCTATTTTCAGCCTCTTAGCCTTATGAACCCTTTCCGTTGGAGATGGTCTTAGGTGGAGGTGCATCATCACCTGGGGTTCGTGTGATGCGGTGAGAGAGAGGGAGATATGGAAATACAATATGTTATACGCGAGACTTTTTCCCCTGTGTCTACAGGTAATTCTCACGTGATGTAGGCTCAAGGGCAAATACGGCTTTTGCATTCAAGAAGATTAGAATATTTGTACGAATGTTACTTTATAGTTCACATTATTTTTTGTTGTTAAATTAATTCTACACCTATGTTTCTATTAGCAATTGATCAATTAGTCACAATGCTTAGGAAAATTAATGAAAATAGCTTGAGTTTTAACGATAAAGACAAAATAAAGAGTAAAGTGAATAATAACATGATTAACATTTTACTGTAAAAATGTGATCTTTCATTAAAATTAACAGTACCGAGAGTTTTTTGTTAAAGTTCCATATTTTGAAACCTAACATTTTAACCCTTCAGGTTTGAGGTGGTTTTTAAAACAAGTAATGTGATTCTAATTTTTCACGTTGACTCCTTAAACATCTAACTCTCAACTAAAGCGACTCTTTTTGTCAACATGACGCAAATACGGTTTATTTAATATGATAAAATAAAATTTTCGTGATTTATTTTAAAAATCTCTCTAAACTTAAAGCGTGTAAAATGAAATTAGACTTTTATTTTCCTAATAAAAAAATGTGTAATGATATTATTATTTGGCAATAATGCAAGACAGCTCCCCTTGTGGTTAGGTGTGCAATAGTGTGTGGAAAAAGGACCTACTTCCTTCCTACTCGGTGTTGCACGTTTCAGAATGTTAGCTCATTTCAAACAAGTCTCCGTTGTTTACGGACCAAAAAAGTCATGTCGTTTCGTGCATCGTTTCGCTTATTTCGGCATTAGTTGATAATTATTTTGTTTTTAGATTTAATTTTTTATTTTTGTGCTGGAGATAAAAAATAAAGTATATAAATAAAGACGAGGAAAAGTAGTTGGAGGGAGAGTAGAATGTGTAAAAATTATTCGCGGTAAAATATATATATATATATATATATATTTTGGTAATTTGAATGCTAGAGTATGTTTGCAAAGCTACATTGACTTCCTCAGCTATAAACTTAATTACACAACATGATTACAAAATATATAAATATCAAGAACAACATGAGTGAAATTCAAGTTCATAGAAGAAACCGTTTTGAAGCAATTCTGATGTTGAACTTCTTCAATAACAGAGCGGCTGCATGGTTTCTTCGGTGGCAACGGATGGTGAAGGGAAATAGGATTTTGTTTATGAAAGAAAAGCCAAAGAAAGAGAAGAGAGAGAGAGCTCTAGGTGACCCCAAAGGGGGCTTGTATAAAAGTGATCTAAAACCCTAGTATTTATAAGCTAAATAGGGTTGCAGCTGATTGCAAGTTGATCCCAACCATTAAGCCAAGGTTTTGAACGTTTTTCCTTATTTGACTCCTTCAAATCAGGCTAGATATTCCAATTGCTTTCCTATTCTGCTCTTGGTCTTCTAATCAGCAAGATTCGCTTTGGATTCTTTATTTGGGCTTCAAAACAAGTAACAACTTTATTTAGGCTCCAAAATAAGTCACTAAACTTCCCTCCACGTTTGAATAAGGGTTCAGTTTATCACTTTGTATACATTTCTTGTTATATTTGTCGCATCTTCATCTGCATTTCTTCGTTAATGTGTTTCCTCTCAATTTCCAGCATGAAATCAATATAGAATCTGAAAAAACGAAATATCTATGAAACGGACGTTAATAAATCAAACTAAAAGTTGAAATGTCTGTCAGGCAAGTCATAATAAATATAACTCAAAAAAAGAAGATGAAAACGGTTTTAGCATAAGAATCAAGGGTAAGAATACTTTATAATTGGGAGGTACGTCTTCGTTTTAAAGTGTTTTTAAAATAATTGAAATTTTTTTTAAGTGAAAATTGTCTTTCAAAATAATTATTAGTAAAAACTCAAGTAAATCATTAAAAAACAATTGAAATGCTATATTTCATTAGAAATACTTTCGGTTATTTTAAAAGCATTTTCAAACTAACTCTATATATATTGTGAACTATTATCGACGCTCCACAAAGGTCACAGATAAGGTTTTTGTCAGTTGAATGACAAATTTTCTAACCATTGCCAATGTCAAGTGTAGAATGATTATTTTGAAGTCCCGCTTCCATTTTGTTTTGTTATTTGTTTTGGGTCGACAGATATATTATAGCAGGAAAGTTTGTTTTTGGTGTTTTGTCGAAAAACTCCTTTACACCTGGGGGAATGATCACAACGGAATGACTGAAATTGCATAGTGAGTTGGTGGCTTCTTAGATCCTCACGTGCTCACCTTCTTCCTCTTCCGATTCGATTGGATGAAACTTCTGCCAACAGCGACTGTGCCTACTCGGTCTATTTAACCAGTAAATCCCCCGTTACACAAAACACCACTCCCATAATTCCCACCGACCTTTTCAGCTGAAAATCTGACAGAGGAAGAGGAAGCCATGGCCACCCAACAACCCATCTCAAAGAAGACGGCTTGCGTCGTAGGCGGAACCGGTTTCGTGGCGTCTCTGCTGGTCAAGCTGCTGCTCCAGAAGGGCTACGCCGTCAGAACCACCGTCAGAGACGCTGGTCAGACTCCCTCTTCTCCTTTTTTTCCCAATTTATTTAATTTATCTATTTTTTTTTCAACCAGACGATATTCTAGACTACTCTAATACATAACGACATTAAAAACGCTGGTGAATATCTTGACTAACTCGTATGCAATTTCTTTTGAAGTTTCAAATTTTTGTTTTTTCTTTTCTGTCAACTGCTATTTATGCCCAGTAAAAAACCATGTTCATAACCAAAGAACGAAGACAAAGTACATGTATTGTCAGTACTGATGCTTTGGCCTCACTTTCAGTCCTCCTGACAAGGCTGTTTTTGTCGTACTAGGATTATCTTTCTTCCAAATTACCTTTTCTTCAATGGCAGAACCACTAAAAATGCGATTGTTTGGCCTCACTAACTGTCATTGGGCTAGACTACATACTAATATAATCTTGTGCGTGTTAAGTAGAGGGACTAAATTAAATGAGATTAAAGGGGACATGCAGGGACTAACTCCCTCGCTGTACTAAATATTATTCTTATACTACATAGTCGATGTCAAGTCAAATTAGTTTGTTCATTAAAGCTAGTTAGTAGTAGTAACAAACGCGAAGGGACCAGTCTCTCATGCTCTAAGTTCAAATTACCTATGTTTGTGAGATGCCCTCCCATACATGAAATCCTGGCTCCGCCACTGCTCCCCTTCCTTCCTCTCCTCTCTCACTTTCGTGACAGCTCAAATAGAAGGGGACCAGAGGGGAAGGGAATTCAAAGGAAAGAGAATCCTACTCTGTTTCCATCTACCTTATATAGGACCATTGCACTGAAAAGTTTGTCATTTTTCGCGTCTCTAGTAGAAAAAATTGAAACTTCAAAACGTTGTACTTGGCATGTGATGAGTAAATCCAATATGACGATTAAGCTAGAGGTGTTAGTGACAAGACAAGGTAAAAGTTCATAATATGATTTAATTACTCATCTGAATTTACTGTTGGAATACAAAGAGGCCTTCGTAATTTTGTAGGTTATCAGTAAATTTTGAGAAAACTTATCAGTTAAATTCTTGTTTTACTGTGCTGGCATGAATTGGTTTTCAATTTTTGATACATTTGGGTGCAGACAACCACAAGAAGGTCTCCCACCTCACAGCACTACAAGAGTTGGGTGAGCTAGAGATTTTAGCAGGAGATCTAACTGATGAAGGGAGCTTCGATGCCCCAATAGCAGGCTGTGATCTTGTTTTCCATGTTGCAACCCCTGTCAACTTTGCCTCACAGGACCCAGAGGTCCTGGATTTTGTGAGAATTTCTTGATGAAATGTTGCATTCTGTATAGTTGAGGACAGTGGTAATACTAACATTGTCAATTAACAGAATGATATGATCAAACCAGCAATCCAAGGGGTACTAAATGTTCTGAAGTCGTGTGTGAAAGCCAAAACAGTTAGGCGCGTTGTTTTGACATCATCAGCTGCTACAGTTTCGATCAATACACTTGACGGAACAGGTTTGGTTGTGGATGAAAAGGATTGGAGTGATTTGGAGTTCTTGACTAATGTAAAGCCACCCACTTGGGTATGTCACCAAATCCTTCGTCTTTAAATAGGTCTAGTGTCTAGAAATTCGCTGAATAAATTGATCAAACAAGAACGTTTTCTCAAATTTGCAGGGGTACCCTGCCTCCAAGACACTAGCTGAGAAGACCGCTTGGAAATTTGCCGAAGAAAACAACATTGATCTAATCAC